TATGCTCCAGCCCCCTAATCATTTTGGTTGCCCTCCGCTGGCCCCTCCCCAAGCCATCCACATCCTTCCTGTAATTGGGGGCCCAGAACTGGACACAATACTTCAGATGTAGCCTCACCAGTGCCGAGTAAAGAGGAATAATCACGTCTCTGGATCTGCTGGCAATGCTCCTCCTCATGCACCCCAATATGCCATTAGCCTTCTTGGCTACAAGGACCTGCTGTTGACTCATATCCAGCTTCTCAGCCACTGCCACCCCCGGGTCCTTTTCTGCTGAACTGCTAGTTGGTCCCCAGCCTGTAACAGTGCTTGGGATTCTTCCATTCCAAGTGCAGGATTCTGCACTTGTCCTTGCTGAACTTCAGCAGATTTCTCTGGGCCCAATCCTCCAATTTGTCTAAGTCACTCTGGACCCGATCCCTACCCTCAAGCGTATCAACCTCTCCTCCCAGCTTAGTGTCATCCACAAACTTGCTGAGGGTGCAATCCATCCCCTCAGCCAGGTCATTAATAAAGATATTGAACAAGACCGGTCCTAGAACCAAACCTTGGGGCACTCCGCTAGAAACCAATCGCCATCCTGACATCGAGCCATTGATCACTACCCGCTGGCCCGGTCTTCTAGCCAGCTTTCTATCCATCTTACCGTCCATTTATCCAATCCATTAATTTATCCAGTCAGATCGGTCCTGTCTCGGCCTGTACCCAGCATTTACCGGCATGTACGTCACAGTCCAGGGTCATGTGGCCACCAGTCAGATCGGTCTTGTCTCTCCCTGGACCCGGCATTTACTGGCTCATACGTCACAGCATTAATTTATCCAGTCAGATCGGTCCTGTCTCGGCCTGTACCCAGCATTTACCGGCATGTACGTCACAGTCCAGGGTCATGTGGCCACCAGTCAGATCGGTCTTGTCTCTCCCTGGACCCGGCATTTACTGGCTCATACGTCACAGTCCAGGGCCATGTGGCCACCAGTCAGACCTGTCTCTGCCTGGACCCAGGGTTTGCCAGCTCATACGTCACAGTCCAGGGCCACGTGGCCACCAGTCAGATCGGTCCTGTCTCTGCCTGGACCCAGGGTTTGCCAGCTCATACGTCACAGTCCAGGGCCACGTGGCCACCAGTCAGATCGGTCCTGTCTCTGCCTGGACCCAGTGTTTGCCAGCTCATACGTCACAGTCCAGGGCCACGTGGCCACCAGTCAGATCGGTCCTGTCTCTGCCTGGACCCAGTGTTTGCCAGCTCATACGTCACAGTCCAGGGCCACGTGGCCACCAGTCAGATCGGTCCTGTCTCTGCCTGGACCCAGTGTTTGCCAGCTCATACGTCACAGTCCAGGGCCACGTGGCCACCAGTCAGATCGGTCCTGTCTCTGCCTGGACCCAGTGTTTGCCAGCTCATACGTCACAGTCCAGGGCCACGTGGCCACCAGTCAGATCGGTCCTGTCTCTGCCTGGACCCAGTGTTTGCCAGCTCATACGTCACAGTCCAGGGCCACGTGGCCACCAGTCAGATCGGTCCTGTCTCTGCCTGGACCCAGTGTTTGCCAGCTCATACGTCACAGTCCAGGGCCACGTGGCCACCAGTCAGATCGGTCCTGTCTCTGCCTGGACCCAGTGTTTGCCAGCTCATACGTCACAGTCCAGGGCCACGTGGCCACCAGTCAGATCGGTCCTGTCTCTGCCTGGACCCAGGGTTTGCCAGCTCATACGCACAGTCCAGGGACTTGCTCTTTGTTTCCCTTGTCGGCAGTAAATGAACCTAGCGCCACGGTGGCAGTGCGGAGAGGCTGGTCAGTTTCAGTTAGGGACAAAACGACAAACGGTAGAGCCCCGGACACACAGGTGGCCCCTCTGAGTGGTTTCTACCATACGGTAGATTCTCCTGTTTCTCGTCCCTGGAGCCTACCCTCGTGTGGCTGACCCGGGTCTCGTCCCAGAGGAGCAGCGATTCCAAGGCAGGGGTTATATTATGAGGGATAGAGCGATGATGTCATTGATTTGGGCAGCTCGACTTAGTGACTCTAGCAGTTGGTTCTCGCAGCAGGTGTTCAGCTTAAAGGCGCGCGGGATCTCTTATGAGGAGAAGGCGGCACGCCGCGCTGATCGAGAATGCAAGAGTTGTACATGCTGTCCAGTCCCTCGCGTACAGACACCATGCACACAACGGTCCCGCCAGGCGATGTTCTAGTTACCGCTCCAGAGTCTGGATCGACCTAGTGGCCAGTTAGATCGATCGCAGGGGGAGCAGGGCCTTTGGCGGTCGTGAGCCGATGCTCCTAGAGTTGGTGGCAAGACGAACCCAAAGTTCCATAGCAGGCACCCTGCTTTTATAACCCTCCCCTCTATGGATTTCGCTGTGTCAGCCTGTGACCGGTTACTGTTATCCTGTTGATGTCCCAAAACATCTCCAAGAGGCTCATCCTGTCGTGGATTGTTAATCAGTTGTTTTTAGGGATGCCTTCACCTTTAGAGCTGTCAGTCTGCCAATCTGATCAGTTCTTGACTGGGGGTACATACTGATCGTTTCTCTGATGCGGATATGTCTCTTCGCAGTCTGTGTTTTACAGCTTGTCTTCACCCCGCATTCTCCCCCTTCTCTCTTGACCATTTGGCTCTAACAATGACCTCTACGCCTGTGACGGACCGGGCCGGGTCTGGGCACAGCTGAGGGCGTCCACTCAGGGCAAATTGCTCAAACTCGGGGCTCCTTACAGCCCCTGACTGGACCTTTCCAGGCCACAGAGCGCTTCAGCTGCCTGCCTGAAACCTCACGAGCAAAACCCCTCCGACACCCCAGCAATATCCGTGCCCCAGATGGCACTGGGCCTCATACACCAGTGGGGGGTCTTAGAACCCAATCTCACCTACCCCGAACAAGTTCTGTCCGGTTCCAAGAAATCAGCCACAGATCCCTGGTCAATTTACCCTCTGGACCTTACCCACAAATCATGCTGAGCCAATCCTTGAGCATCTAACATCTAAAGGTTTATTCTTACAATAAAGAAAAGCCCGAGAGTGAGGTTGTTAAAGTATCATACGTTACATGCATCGAATCTCCCAGTTCTCAATGCAGGCTCTAGCAGAGATGTTACAGCTGCTGGTTTAAAAGTCCTTGTTGCACATCCTAAGTCAGGATGGGTCCACAGGTCTTCCTGGCTCATGAATCCCTGCGAGGCCGCATCTGGGGTCAGAAGCAGATCTGAATTCAACATGGAGTCGGCCACATGGCCTGTTTATCCCTCCTTCCTGGCTCCTTCCAAGCTGGAGGGAGTCACATGGCCAGTGGCCAGGTGTGTCTTTGGCCTTCAGAGACCCATTGTTCCCAAGAGCTTCGCTCATTAGCATGTCCATGGGCAAACATTCCTAGCCTATTACTCATGCCCATTCAGAGAGATGGCCAGTCTCCACACAGAGTACAGACCCCTAACTCCACACCCAGACATTACACAGATCTATGAAGAGCACATACACAATCAGAAGACAGTAGCTTTTGTTTCACCCCTCACATGGCCCCTTTGTACCACTTTTGGGGCGAACACCCCCCCCATGGGTGCAGCAGTGACCTGGCTGCTCCCTTCACAATCCAATAGCGTGACAACACCGTATCTTATTCATACAAACAGTCTTTCACAAAGTTACAAACAGCAGAGTTTTATGTTGAACAAAAGTGAACAGCGTGGTAAATTGCCTTGCTAAATTTTCTAATTACAAGAATTCACACTGAAGGCTCGGGCCTTCAACACTCCTCTAATCTTATTGGCATAGACACAGTATGAGATCCTGTCTCTTGACTTCCTAAACTTTAAAACAATCTGTCTATCTATCCATCTTACTAAAGGGCTTAGTTTAATAACATATTAATGTGCTAGTATGTCACCGTGCGTTGCTACGTGATTAACCCTAAAATACAAATATAAAAAGAACCAAACGTTTAGTTCCAACGCAAGGAGGAGCGGGCCAGCCGTGCAGCAGAGTGGCGGCGTGTAGCTTGCTCAGCTGTGCACGTGAGTCTCAGCGCCCAGGAGTCTGGCTGTGGAACCCACACATGATCCTGTACTAGAGGGGAATGGCCGTGGCCCTTTTGGTGCGGCTGATCATGCAGCAAAGGGATGACTGGTGCTTGGTTGCACACATGAAATGCACCACAGGGTGGAGCCGAGAGCCAGCAATTCTCCGTGGGCTGCTGCGTTCCAAAGGCCGTCCTTACCAGTGCCTCGGCCAGCCCGGCCCTGAACCATTCCTCCGTCCGGTGGCCTCGGAAGGAGCGTCCTGCCAGAGGAGCGCCCTCCGCGAGAGCCAGCGTGCGATACTTACGCCCTGACAGAGCTGTACCTGTGTAGGGGCCCTGTGTAAGTCTGGCCTGGTGGAGTTGCCTGCTGGCCTCTGCAGCTCCGTGTCTGAAAGCCTGTCTGTCGAAACTGGTTCCCTGTGGAAAAGGGGGTTTCCCCACAAGCAACGGTTTTCACAAAAAGATCGTTCTGTGGGAAATCTCAGCTTGTTTGGGGGGAAGGGCTGAATGCTCAAAAGCTGAACTGATTTGATTCCGAAATGCTCCTGCGAGGTGCGGTCAGGGCTGTAGTTTGGCTGCCTCACGCCTCCATCTTTTCTGTGCGCCAGTCTCCCCCGCAGGACTTCCTCGGCCGATCAGTGTCATCCCTCTTCAAGAGGGGAGACCGCGGTGCATCCTGGGAGATGTAGTCCTCTCAAGGGGCCCGTGCAGCACAGAATGGGAGCATTAGGCACCCAAAATACAGCTCTCATCAGACGCTAGCTTGCTGGATTTTGATGAAATAATCCGGGGCAAGATCCATTTTCTGAGCCGCAATTATCCTTGGTTTGTAATTAGAAATGGGGTGTGTGTGTGTGTGTGGGAGGGGTTCGTTAGGCCATGTGAAGTCCCTCTGCGCTGTGTGAAAGGCTGTTCTCTTCCACAGAGGCACAACACAGCAGCAGCGTGAGGAGACGCTGATGCAGGAGCGGGTGTGGGGAGTCGGGAGGGGCCGTCGGCGCGTCTTTTCGAAGTAGACGAGCACTCGCAATCTGCTGGGGTGGTCACTAAGCGGGATACCTGCTCTTCAGGCCTCTCAAGTAGCTTCTCCTGCGTTGTCTTTATTCCTAAGCCAGAAGGGACCAGCTACCACCCGCCTTGGGCAGCCTGGCTCTGACAGGATCCCAGCACTTCCAGTTTCACGCTGCCTTGGACGCTTCCGAACCCTTCCCAACTCTGCATGTTTTCCGGCTCCCCGTGTCTTGCCGTCTGCCCTGTCCCTCGGACGTGAATGAGCTCCGCCTTTCTCCCAAGGTCCCATGGGATTAGCATAGGCCCTGGGCTGACCCGTCTGGAATCAGGAGCCCCGTACCCTGCGGTTTCGAAATGCCCCAACGGGGGCAGCGGGTCTGATCCGCCGCGCTTGGTCCTGCCACGAGTGCAGGGCTTGGACGTGAGGCCCTCTGGGTTCCCTCTGGACCAGGGGCAGGGCTGTAACAGCTTCTCTGGCGCAGGCTGGCGGAGAAGTACAAGGAGTGTCTGGCCAGCAAGGAGAAGATCCTGAAGGAGATAGAAGTGAAGAGGGAATATCTGAGCAGCCTCCAGCCCCGGCTCAACAGCATCATGCAGGTACTTCTGGGCAGGGGCTGCCTGCGAGGTGTGCCCCCAGCTGGGGGAGCGAGGTGGCGTAGGGCTGGGGCGCGGGTAGCGAGGGGACGGCGCTGCCCCTGCTGCTTCACCTGCACTTCCTGATCCTCCTTGAGGTTTGCTGGGCAGTCTGTTCGTGTGCGGCCCTGCCGAGGGCTGGCACCCAGCTCCTTGGAGGGGATCTTGCCCGTGCGTCGCTTGGCTGGGAAGAGCAGGGGAGGGAACTGGGGTCCCCTGTGTGCGGGGCCGTTGGACCAGCCGCGTTACGCCTGGTGCATGCCAGCCCAAGGAGCCTCTACCCAGCGGGACGGGCGCCTGCAGGGCTGCCTCGCGCACAGGCCGGACGGGGACGGCGCACAAGCAGTCCCTGTGTGCTTT